TCTCTCTCTCTCTCCCCTTCTCTCCCTCTCTCTCTCTCCTTCTCTCCCTCTCTCCCTCTCTCCCTCTCTCCCCCTCTCCCCCTCTCCCCCTCTCCCCCCCCTCTCTCCCCTGTGGTCAGCACCATTTTAGGGGGAAATTCTAGTCAGCAACATATTTTTTTTTGAGTTCCTGTGAGCACCTTATATTGGTAGATATTTGCGTCGACACATTTCGTGGAAATTTTAATCAGCGCAGCATTTTAAGAGATTCTGCTCACCTCCATAATTTTGAGGAAATTCTAATCAGCGCTATATGTTCGAGGGATTCTAGTCAGCGCAGGAAATTCCACTCGGCACCTTTTTTTTATATGACGATTTTAGCCTGCGCCCTGTTCTGGGAGATTCTCCTCGGCGTCCTCTCTGGCGGGGATGTTAGCCAGTGCCTCTTTTCGCTAGGCCCTGTTAGCACTCTCGGAATGGAGGATGAGAGGGGCAGGCGGGGGAGGGGATGGGATGGGAGGGGGTTGAAGAAGTGCCTGTTGAGAAATTTCACTCGTTAGCGCCCGATTGTTATGGCTTGTTGATCGCTGTGGGAAAGACTGAAGAAGTTCGTTGTTGAGAGATATCGGAGACTGGCTTCGTTATTATTTACCTTCAAAAGCAATACAGCGATTACGGGTGAGTTTCTGTACGAATTTTGGCACATTTGAGGGGAAAGTATCGCTGCGTTTCTGAATACTTTATGGCCGTGCGATAATTTACATAGAAAAAAGAACATTTATTCCGAATGGTTGTTTATAATTATTCCATTACTTTCCTCGACATAAACATAATGTTTTTATATACCCAAGTTGAGTAAATAATACCTCGTCAGTCCACATGAATTATAATTGCTCGCTGGACCGATTTGCATCATAATTATAGTGAGAAGAATTAACGCTAGCCTGGCAATTGTGGCGAGGTTTTTAATTCTTTAATTGTATATAAATCAAGGCGATGTCTTTCCCTGTCTTTCCTTGGCTCGGCTGCAATATCACGGCCTGAATTCATGCAGGTGACGAGGCTTGCTCTGCGGCCGTCGTGATGCTCAACCTAACATTACGTGCACTCGCTTATTTCCCGCACGATTTTATTCCTTCTGCGCGAGATATATTTGGCGCTTATTATGCGATGTTTCTTAGGGAGTCTGTGAACTCGTTCGAACTATCACCTCTGTGGCTCCATGAATAGGCGGTAATTCTTCATGACAGGCCTTGCTTTTCAAACAATCCTCTCTCATTGCGACTGTTCATTGCCACATGAACCTCAAATACCCATAAACGAAAACTTTTTTTCTTCTCTGCCCCTGCGATAGAAATGCAAAACCTCGTCACTTTCCTTACCTAATCTTTTTCGCGTTCTGCCTCTACACATTTAATTTATTCAGTGTTACGTATTATCTTCCTTTCCTCGTTTTCTTTTCCTTTTATCCCCGTATACCTTAGCTTTTGTTCG